CTGGAGGTAAAAGTGGTTTAATGATGAGGCACCAGAGAGGTTAGCTCAGTCTCAGCCGTGTTTGTTGCTGTGCATTAGACTTGAACATCCCTTTGTTTCCTCCAGCAGTCATTGTTAGAGTGATGCATGGATTACAAGCTGTGTAAATGACTACGTGAGTGATGTGAATGGAACAGTTGTGGCTCATTAAAGAGCTGAGTGAGCGTGTGTTAATGCTGCGGTGTGTTTACATTCCTCTGTTTGCAGCAGAGCTGTGCTGAGGGGTGCATGCAGCAGCATCAGTGCATCAGTCTGTGCTTCACACTGTAAATCTGTTCATCAGGAAGGTTTTCTTGGTGTTTTTCTGCAAAAGGCACCATTCAGACTTTGGCCTTCAGCTGTTGGATATATAACAGTTATCAAAATACCACAAAACCACCTCACAACGTCTCCGCCTCTCCTTCCTGCAGGTGACCGGTAAGAGGTCAGAGGGCATAGAGGCAGATGACTTTCAGGGGGGCGTGTACGAGGCGGCCGTCAATCAGGAGAAGCGGGATGATCGCAGATCCCACGGGGAGCTGGGAGTCGGCGGGCGTCTGTCGGAGGAGAGTGACAGCGGCGGCGAACAGGAGGAAGTCAGCGTGGCAGCTCTCAATGTAAGAGCAGCAGCTACGGTGCAATGACAGGTTACACTGAGGAGTATTATTTTACTGCCAGCTGCACATAAACATGTCAATATGATTATGCAACACCAACTGTGACTCTGCAGGTGCAATCACCACCTGCAGCAGCAATGATAGTTACAGGAAAGTCTCAGGAGTGACAATAATGCATCAAATACAACGAGTACATCACAATATTCAAGTATTATCAGATACATGTGTGGATGACCAGCGGGAAGAGTGGCGTCAATAAAATGTGACATTATTTAAACTTGATATTCTTAAACAGAAGAACTTACTCATCTCTAGGTAAAAACTACTTAAATATGTCAGTTTTAGAGTTGTGTATCATGTGTAATACCTACTTTTAGTCGTATTTGCAGTTATAGTAATGGTGACAAATTTCAGTTTAAATTCAGGCATTTCCTTTTTGCCACAGCAGAGACAATTACAGGTTCAGGATTATGTAATAAGTTAGACTGACGTCACTTAAATCTGGTGATGATCTCATCCAAGCACAGAGGTGAAGGGATTTTGAAGCCATCTAACTGGTTTTCTCCTCATCTGTGCTGCCACCTGGAGGCATTCAGGAGTATGACAACTTATAACTGCTCATGTTGGCATTTGATTATCATTCAGTGAATAAACAGACCAGTAGAAGTTGAATAATAAATGAAGTCTGTGGTTTTTACTGTTGCGTGCTGACGGCCTCTGTCTTATTTCCACCGGTCAGACGGATCGGAGCGGCAGACTGAAGCTGGAGACGGTGGACGACCTCTTCAACATCCTGCAGCTGAGGAAGAAACGGAGAGAGAGGAAGAGCCCGGTCCTGAAGAAAGATGAGCCAGAGCCTGAGGCTGTGGTAAGGTTTTGATTTAATTTAATATTATTAATTTGCATTTGACCAGAAATACTTTAAACCTTGATGACGAGAAAGGGTGCAGCACAAATAAAATCTGGCATTGCATAAATGTGTGCTGATGCTGAATGAAGTGAACCAAAGATGCATGAAAGTCTGCAATAGAGCTGCAACAGCAGCAGCTTCTCTTGCCGCATGCTCCGAGGCGTACCTTTCTTTTT